CATTCATTTAAAATTTCTAAAGATGTTTGTTTACGACAGCGTGTGAACACTCAACAAAGTACAACAATCAAATAAGAATGTCTCATGGAATAAAAACAGTTAAAAATCAAAAAAAAATTCAGCCAAACTCCATGTCCAGAGTCACCTCCCATAAAAGTTGTGGAGATCACTGACTCCAATTGGAGAAGGTCTATGAAGCGAGGAAGCTGTCGTAAATCAATATCTGTGCGCTACAAGAGCTACCTTGGCTATGCAACACTAACTTTTCTTTGCGCTGACGAAGTTTCCAAGTCAAAGAACTTCATAAAACTTCTGACTTTTCAAGAAGATTTGTTTCATTGAAGTACCAACTTTTTGCCGTTCAAACCTGCTTCGGTTGTCACTACTTTATCTAGTACAACTGACGACAACCGACTTCGGCTTGTTAAGGGGGTGGAAACTTCGACAAGCCTTGAAGAATGAATGCGGAACGTTAGGCTGTTGAAACCTCCCGTCTATCAAATTAACAGAGCAGCTCTACAATACCACCAGCAATACCGGGGTTTCAATGAATGAAAGCTAGAACCGGCGATCACTAAATATTAAACTCCCTTAATAAACTGACAACTGTGGACTAGTCCAATTGGGAGACGAATATGCATTCATTTGAACCTCATTATAATCCAACTCATAGCAAAAACAGGAAAATTTCAAATGGAACAGGGAATTCATTAAGATTATTAAGAAAGAGGAAAAAGTAGAACTAAAGTATTCGGTATGTGAACCACAAACTTACTTTGACATTAGTAAGATCCAGCTGGGTGATACCGTTCTGATGAGCTTCTAGTAAATCAGCTAGTAATGTGTCTGTCAGATCTGCTCCAGTAAGATCAAGATGCGACAATGGCAAACGTGCCGAGTCGCACCATGCTCGTAACGCCTCGGCCGCTACTGGTTCTTTCTGAAAAATGTAAAGTTAGGGAACTAACTTTAGCATAAGTTACTCAATAAAACTATCTGCAAGACAAATAAGAATCACTTAATTGATTCCCCAAAATTTCTAAAACCATCCGCAAAGAACAGAAGATAAGCAATCGACGTTGATCGACCCCTTCTTAGATACACAAGGTGTTCGACTGGCAGCCACAACTGCAGTGACAACCACATGCGTATACTTATACATGCACTCGTGATGGACCAGGGGGTGGTATTTCATTTGTATGCAAAAGTTTAGGTCACAGACTAAGATGGTAGCTGGTTCCAACAAGTTTGGGCACCGAGAATCGCTCCTGTCAGCTGGGTTTGGTAGCGAAGACATCGTTGGAAGGAAACGACGAAATTTTGGAAACTGTAAGAGAAAAACTTCTAAAAAAGTCAAGATCAAATTGACCAGAAAGGGGGGATGGGCGAGACTGTAGGCTTAGGTCAGGGTCAACCGTCGCGTCTTTTTAGGTTTTCTATTATGATGAACTTTGACACACGGGACAAAACACAAGGACACAGGCTCGTAAATATACAAAATTTCAATAATTCGTGAGCATATGTGATAGTTCTTCACATGGTGATCAAAACAAAACAGCTTTTCGCAGTTGCACAGGAAATAAAGAAAGAGCTAAGGTGATGTAGAGGGTGCCACAGTGGGAAAGTCACAAAGAGAAAAATCCCCCCTAACTTCTCTCAGAGAATCGTTCCGCAGATAACGAAAACGGATTTGAGCTCAGCGTCGCAAGACGCGTCCATTGGACTACATCTCATTTCAAACGGCCGGACTGACCAATTGACCATTCCTCGTGAAAGGTTTTCAACCACTTTTGCTATTAGCACACAGATTGTTGAATTTGCCTTCCACACCCACTACAGCTCCCAAGTCTCCTACACAGTCCCAGCGCTGGTTTCACAGTACACTTACCTGGGATTGTTTTGAACATCCCATGGAGCTTTGAAAGGAGACCTAGGTACATCGACAGTCTGGACACTGATTACAA